CCTTTGCAGTCAATGTTCACATGCAAAAGAAATGAAGTTCGATCCACGCCTTATACCACATACAAAAACTAACTCCAAATGCATCATAGATATAAATGCAAATCCAAAACCTGTAAAACTTCAAAAGAAAACAAAGGTAACTGGCCTTGGGTGAGGCAAAGATTTCTGAGATATGACAACAAAAGACACAATGCATAAAAGAAAAAGCTGATAAACTGGACTTAATAAAAATTAAGAATGCATGCTCTTCTTTTTTCTAGTTTGAGATACTGATTGACCAGTGTAAACTCCAACATGGTACCTCAACATGATTTTCAGCATTTACAGGGGAAATGCTTCCTGGTTAAGTAGAAAATTGTACAAATCACTTCTGGAAGACCTCATCCTAAGCAGCTTTATAGTCAAACATTTCATTTAGAAGTCTGAACTTTCTTTCTTCAGTTCGCTATAATCTATATTTACTGAGAAGACTGTGCATTGCTCATTAGGACATACTTTATTCTGGGTTCTGGGTTACTCTCTTCATCCCAGTGGATATCTGGATTGAACAATGCTAGACACAAAACATTCAGTGCTGCACTAGTACCTCCAGCTCCAATAAATATGAAGAGAGAAATCAAGCTTGAATGCTTCTTGGCCTAACCAAGGATTTAGGGGAGCATATCTGTGCCAAAGCCCTCTGGTCTGAAAGGAGAGGACACTAAGGCCAGGCCTGGAACTAAGCAGTCGCTGCCCAAAGAGATGCTCTTTGAAAGCTACTATTTGGAGAATGCAAAGTGAAGCCATAGATGGGGAGAAAATATTAGCAAATAACATATCTGATGGAGAACTTGTACTCAGTGTGTGGGTGTGTACGGGCATGGGTGTATATATACATTCTGTTTTTTTTTTTAATGTTTATTTTTGAGAGAGACAGAGTGCGAGTGGGGGAGGGGCAGAGAGAGAGGGAGACACAGAATCTCAAATAGGCTCCAGGCTCCCAGCTGTCAGCACAGAGCCCAACGTGGGGCTAGAACCCACGAACCATAAGATCATGACCTGAGCTGAAGTTGGAAACTTAACCAACTGAGCCACCCAGGTGCCCCTATATATACATTCTTGTGTGTGTGTGTGTGTGTGGATACACACACACTACATATACCTTCAAAATGTAATAAGATAAACAGCCAAACAACAACAAAAAGGGGCAAATAATTTGAATGGACACTTTAAGAAGATGTATGGATATCAAAAAGCACACAAAAAAATGATAAAGATGCTCATCACCATTAATTATCTCAGAAATCCAAATTAAGGGACTGTTGGGTGGCCTAGGTGGTTAAGCAGCCCACTCTTGATCTCATCTCAGGGCTTGATCTTAGGATCATGAGTTCAAGCCCTATACTGGGCTCCATGCTGGGAGGGAAGGAAGGAAGGAAGGAAGGAAGAACGGGAGGGAGGGACATAGGAAAGGAGGGAAGGAAGAAAGAAGGAAGGAGAAAGAAATACAAATTAAAACTAAAATGAGATACTACTACACACCTCTAAAAAATGGCTAAATCTGAAAGGACTGATTATACCAAAAGTTGGTGAAAATATATAGAACAGCTGGAATTCTCATACAGTTGATAGGAATGTAAAATGGGACAACCACATAGGAAAACAGTTTAACCGTTTCTTAAAAAGTTTGACATACACCTATTACATGATTAAGCCATTCTATTCCTAGGTAATTCATTACCAAAGAGAAGCAAAAGCATGTATCTATACAAATACTTGTACATGAATGTTCATCACAATTTTATCTGTTATAGTCAAAAACTGGTATCTACCCAATTGGTATGGCCAGATGAGTGGATAAACAATTTGTGCCATATCCACACAAGGAAATACTACTAGCAATAAAAAGGAATAAACTATTGATACACACAACATAAATCAATCTCAAAATAATTATTCTGAGTTTAAAAAGGCAAAAACTGAATACATACTATAGAATTACACTTGCATAAGATCAAACAAGAAATGCAAAGAATCTGCAGTGACAGAAAACAAATGGGTTGTTGCTTGGAGACAGGGGCCACCGAGTAGATGGGATGACAAAGAGGCACAAGGAAACTTTGGGGGTGACAGATAAATTCATAACCTGGATTGTGGTGATAGTTTCACAGTGTCAAAACTTACCAAAATTGCACACTTTCGGTATATGAAATTTGTTGACTGTCAATGATAGCTCAATAAAGTTTTTGAAAGTCTTGAGGCTGCTGGGTGGCTTAGTCAGTTAAGCATCTGACTTTAGCTCAGGTCATGATCTCGCAGTTCGTGGGTTCGAGCCCCACATGGGGCTCTGTGCTGACAGCTCAGAGTCTGGAGCCTGCTTCGGATTCTGTGTCTCCCTCTCTCCCTGCCCATTCCCAGCAGCTTGTACTGTGTCTCTCTGTCTCTCCAAAATAAATAAACATTAAAAAATAATAATCATAATAATAAATAAAAATCTAATTGAAAAGTTGAGAATGCACACATTGAAACTAAAATGGAAAAAAAAAAAAGGTGTGAGGGACCCAATAACTTGACGTACCCATCATTCCCTTCTACCTCACTGAATGGGCTTCATCACTTGGTTATCCACAAGCACTCTGGGCATCTTAAGATGCCGTACACTCTGCCAAACATTGGAAGCAGGTCGGTGAATCTGGACAAGCTCAGCAAGTGCCTGGAAGAAACACACATGACTGCAGTCACATTACACACTCCTTCAAAGAAGGACAATTGGTGTTTTAGCTTCTAGGTTTCCACATGGCATGTTATTAGGCTCTTTGAAGGCCTCCCCTTAAATCCTTGCCTGGTTGTGTCCATCAAATCTAAATAAAGTATTTTATCACAATCCCCAACCATCACTGAAAAGCCTGCCTTAAACATCTTCAATCCTCAGTAAAAATCCAGACTTTGCCCTTTGCCCTCCATAGGCGGCTAAGGCTAGTAAGGTAATACTCTGCCTCACTGTGCAAGCAGTAAATGGATTGTTTTATTGACAATTCAGGAAGCCAGGATTCAACATTATTGATCACTCATATTTTCTTTTCTGAATTATTAGTAATCTTTGCCCATTTCTTCATTTTGAATGGATATTTTGGTTTTGATTTGCAGTTTCAAAACTTTAAATCTTTTCTTTGCACTACCTGATGTAAATATTTTCTCACTGTCCTCTTATTTATTTTTGTTTAAAATCATTATAAAAGAAAAAACAGTTTTTGATGCTGTACAGCCTGGGTTCAAATCTCTAGTGCTTACTAGCTGAAGAGCCTTATGTATCGGGTACCTCTGTGAACCCAGATTCCTCATCTGCCTCCCACAGAAATGTAAGCTCCATGAAAGGAGGCATTTTCGACTGTTTGGTTACCGTTGTATCCTCAGCTCTGGTAACACTGCCTGATACATAATAAACACTCAGTAAATATTTACTAAACAATGAGTCTAGAAAGCCAGAACCATCTTATTTACCTCATGGAGTCGTAAGAATGTATTCATCCTCATGAATTTTATTTATTTTTAAATTTTTTTATTTTTATTTATTATTGAGACAGAGAAAAACAGAGCGTGAGCGGGGGCCGGGGGGCGGGGGGCAGGGTGCAGAGAGGGAGGGAGACACAGAACCCGAAGGCGGCTCCGGGCTCTGAGCTGTCAGCACAGAGCGGCACGCAAGGCTGGAACCCACAAAGCCGGAGCTCGTGACCTGAGAGGAGGTCAGAAGCTCAACCGACTGAGCCACCCAGGCGCCCCAATCCTCATGAATTTTAAGTCTAGAACCGTGCCCGGCACACAGTAGGAGCACAAGAAATGTCAGCCTCCTCCCGTCCCCCAAATCCCGCCTCCCAGAGAAGTTTTACCTGAACGTCTTCTCTCCAACCCCCACCTCCCCTCAGTTGTCTTTCCCTTTCCTCCCGCGGGATTTACATCATAGTTCTCCTTCAGTGTGGCTCACGTGTGACCAGAAGGTCTTAGCCTTTGGGCAGCTGTGAGCCCCTCTGATAATATAAGGAAAGTTGTGATCACGCTCCCCGGAAAAACGCGCGCGCGGGCGCACAGACACACAGACTTTGCCGTGCAATTTCAGGAGCTCACAGGATCCTGCCACTAAACTGCCATTTTAGGTTCCTGAATTAGGGGGATATTAACGTCAAAGGCTCATTATTGCTTCCGAGCAGCAAACCTCAACAGGTCACAGGAAATTCCCAGCGCAGATCTTTCGTGCAAGGGTCAGAGTCCAACCCCGGCGTCGCGATCCGAGCGCCTCTGAGATGCAAATTGCTCTCCGCCTTTCGGGCCCAGGGCGCCTATTGTTCCTTCGCCGCCGCTTTTCAGAGCCGACCCCTCACCCTGGCTGGGGGAAGGGCGTTTCTAAATGGAAGCAGGGAGTTCTCGAAGATTCCAAGATCGCTTGTAAACTGCGGCAACCCTGCCCGTGACTTAGTTATCTCAGGGTCCCAGTCGGTAAGGCCACTAACCCTAACTACCATTACGACCCCTGTTCCGTCTTCTGCAGTTGGAACGAGGCAGAAAACGGGAGCCTGTCCCCCTGACCTTTCAGGAAGAAAGACTGTCCTGTAACAAGGTGCAGAGCTCGGGCCCAGTGGCTAGCCACGTGACTTCGGGTAACGCGTGCAACCGTCCTGAACCGATTCTGCCTGAGGAAGAAGTACGGGGGCAGCAGCACCGACCTCATACCTTCCCTGCGCGACAGTGAGGCGACTCATCGCCTACACAAAGCGCCCATGACTCCTAGCTGTTAGGTATTAATACTAAGGAGCGGCTCAGGGCAAGGACGCCGCGGGCCTGGGGTCGCTGCGCGGGAGGAAAGCGGAGTGCGGACGGCTGGGGGGGGAGGGGGCGGCCGGGCTCTGCGCCTGCGCCCCCCCCACACCCCCCACGTGCAGGCCGGGCTGCCTGCACCCTCCGGTCTCGGTGGTCCATGGCTTCTCTGTGTTCTAGAAGTCTCCACAACAGAAACGCACAGACCCTCAAGGGGGTCCACCGCCTCCCCTGCCTGCAACGCGGGTTAGGACTCCCCCACCCACGAGCGGCTCCGTCCCAGAGCCAAAACGGAGTGGACTCAGACAACCTGAAGCGTGGGCCCGGCCTTTTCTTTCATTCTTCTGATTAGAAACAGTCCCAGAGGCGAAGCGATTTGCCCGAAGTCGGCAACTTCCTGGAACTGGAAACCAGTCGGCAGACTTCCGCGTCGCGGCTCCTTCCGCCGCGATCAGGTTACCCAGCGCCCCGGGACGTCCCATAGACGAGGAAAGCAGGGGTCGACCCGGGAGAGGCTCGGAGGGGGACGCTCTTCCTCCTCGTAACTGCTTATGGCAGGCGGTGAGAGAGTGGGGGTGATACCGCGTGGAGCCTGCTTCCCCCCACAGCAGTGTCAACAGTCTCAGATTGCTTTCCGAGATCCCGAATTTTAGGGGGTGCAACTTCCGGGGGGGGGTGCTGGGAGCTTACCTGTTTGGTTTACCCGACCAAGTGCTTAATGCAGAGTAGCTACCTAATAAGTACTTGCCGAGCGGTTGACTGCACAGCTGGATGAGCCCCGTCCCGTCACAGGGATGTAGGAGGATTTGCGGAGCCGAGCCCCACCTGCGAGGCACCTAAGTCCTTGCCAGTTTTTCTCAATTAGGGCTCTGCCTCTAATATCCTCTGTGCATAAATCCTTGACTGCATCTCTTGATTATTTCCTTAGGATATTTTCCTCGAAGTGGGATTACTGGGTTGAAGCGTATGCACATGTTTAAGGCTCTTGATTCACAGTCCCTCCAGCCGCGCCAGAATGAGTCAGCTTCCCAGCAAGTAAACCCGGGATCATCAGGCTTCATTTCTCTCCCTCTCTCTCTCTTTCTCATCTATTTTTTTAAAATGTTTTATTTATTTCTAGGAGAGAGAGACAGCGTGAGCAGGGGAGGGTCAGAGAGAGAGGGAGTCACACACTGAAACAAGCTCCAGGCTCCGAGCTGGCAGTCAGCACAGAGCCCGACGCGGGGCTCGAACCCACGAACCGCGAGATCATGACCCAAGCGAAAGTCGGACGCTTAACCGACTAAGCCACCCAGGCGCCCCTCTCTCTCTCTCTCTCTCTGTCTCATCTTGATAAGACAAAAGTGACATCTCGTTTTATTTGCATTTCTTTGTGGACTAATTAGGCGGAGATTGGACTAACTTTGAGAAATACTCTAAGGAGCCCCGAGAAATCCTATGTGGAAAAAGAGACCTGTGACACCAGGCACATTCTGCCCAGTGAGGTGAAACCAAAGGGCTCCAATTGTCTGGTGTGATTTGACCTGAAGATGTAAACATTTGATCCTTGCTCCAGAGGCTTCCCCTGAGCAAGGGAGGGGAAGCTGTGACTTACTAGCTTGTATGTTACTTTCGTTTCCTGACGAGTAAATGTTATAAAACAAATGAAAACCTGGTGTATTTACCTTTAAGGACAGCAAGAAAAAGTAGAAATGGGAAAACTAGTTCACCTTAACGTCATGGGAAAGGGGGAGGGGTGAGTGGTGAAGTTTGAAGGCTGTTTCCAGGGGGTGGGAGGGAAGTCCCTGAAGGTGAGGCTGGCTGCCAGTAAGGTAGGGAGTGAGCAAGAGACCTCCCAGGGCTCTGGAGCCTTCCTGCTGGAAAGGCTGCTGGGTGTTTGTGGCACTTACAAGGCCTGGGGTCCCTGGGGACCTGGAAGGGGCCTTTAATGGACTTTTGAGGATCAAAGTGAAATTGCCAGGGACAAAGAAAGGTGGTAAGGAAGTGGAGGCCACTGTGCAGCTCCGACTGTGCTCTGGGAATGGGGAGGAGGTACCTGTGGCGTTTTCCCCTGGGGAGGGGAGATGATGGTCCCCAGAGCCTTTGTGGACTATGAAATGGTGGGTGCTTCTCCCCTAGTCAGAGCTGTGAGCTACTCCCAGCTCTTCAGATATCCACTAGGCTTTTTTATAAATCACACCCAAGAGGATAACTGATTTACCAATGTTTACAGGCAGTTTTATTTACCAATCTAGCTCTCATTTACTCTCAACTAAATTTATAGTCCTAATTACAGTCATCAGCATTTTCCTGATAATAAACATACAGGATGTGTTTTAGGGTTTTTTTTTTTTAACTTTGTGGGGGAGTTTATTTTCTTGATTACTTTAAATTTCCTATTAAAGTCTTAAATTTAACAATCAGCTTCTCACAGCAATCTATGAATTTTTCTGCCGCTTTAATTCTTCTAAAAGGGCTCAAGCCAAATACGAACCAGGAGTTCTTAGAGGTTTCAGTGAATGATTTCAAAGCCTTGTCACACTTCAGAATCACTAGGCGGCTTTCAAACATTAGTTGTCCCTCCTTCTTGGGAGACTAATTTTTGTAGGGCTGGGACATACTCTGAAACTGGTATTTTTGAAAAACCTCCTCAGTGATTCTTAAGTTGCTGCTATAAAAGCCAGCTTTGGGAAACTGAGGTCTAAATGCTAAATCTATTTTGTCTTTTTTCTTTAAGTTTTTATTAAAAAAGAAACTCATCCTCGTGGAGTGAGCAGGGGAGAGGCAGAGAGAGAGAGAGAGAGAGAGAGAGAGAGAGAATCCCAAGCAGCCTCCACACTATCAGAGCAGGATTCTAACCCACGAACTATGGAATCATGACCTGAGCCAAAACGAAGAGTTGGACATTTAACCAATTAAACCACCCAGGCACCCAATTTGTTTGTCTTTTAATGAAATTTGGAAATGGCAGTTTTAACTTCTAAAATGTTAAATAATACTTTTCATTTCCGGAAAATATTCTTTTTTTGCCTGCCTCCCGACCCACACCCAGGGCTTGAACTTCCTGAACTCTTTAGTCCTTCCTTACCTAACACTTGATGCCGGATGATGCCATTGTTCTCACCAATCAGTGTCCCCTCTGGTTTTCCTGGATTCCTGCTTTCTCCCTGTGGCAGCATATTTTGGGCTTTCTTTTGTGAATGACAGTTGGCCTTTCTTCCTATTCTCTTTCTAAGCCTTGCTGCTCTTCAAGCCCAGGTGCTATAGTATCCATTCCCACAACTGGCATAAGGTGCTGTGACTTTCACATCTTCAGTTCTCACTGTTTCTCCGGGAAGTCTCCAGATCTCCACATTTCAACTACCTACCAAGCATTTACTCTTAGATATCCCACAAAGCACCTCAGACTCAGTGTTTCTCGAATATTACATCCCTAGCTATGTTTGTTTTCTGTGGTTATTTTTTTGTTTTTTGTTTCTTCATTCGTTTGTTTGTTTGGTTTGGTTTGGTTTTTTAGTAATTTCTTCACCCAGCATGGTGCTTGAACCCATGACCTTAAGATCAAGAGTTGCACACTCTTCCTATTGAGCCAGACAGGTGCCCCTGTTCTCTGTGTTTTTTATCTCAGAGCAGAGCTCTATCACATTAGTCAAGCCAGAAATGTGGGGTTAACCCCAGTCATGCATTTATTTAATTTTTTTTAATGTTTTATTTATTTCTGAGAGAGAGAGAGAGAAACAGCATGAGCAGGGGAGGGTCAGAGAGAGAGGGAGATGAAGAATCCAAAACAGGCTCCAGACTCTGAGCTAGCCGTCAGCACAGAGCCTGACGCAGGGCTCGAACCCACGAACCGTGAGATCATGACCTGAGCCGAAGTTGGACACTCAACCGACTGAGCCACCCAGGCACCCCCTCACCTCCCCCAGTCATTCATTTAGAATCACTATTCTAGGCACTGGGGATACAGAAACCACAAAAAGCCCTGCCCTCCAAAACTTGTGTTCTGGAAGGGGAAGACAGACAGCAATCAGTGCCAAAGCTTTCACAGCTTTCAGCTTACTTTTTTAAAAGGTGAGCCAGCTTTTTTTTTTTTTAATGTTTATTTATTTTTGAGAAAGAGCAAGTGCGGGAGGGGCAGCAAGAGAGGTGTACAGAGGATCAGAAGCAGGCTCTGTGCTGACAATAGAGATCCCAGTGTGAGGCTCGAACTCACAAACCATGAGATCATGACCAGAGCTGAAGTAGGACACTCAACTGACCAAGCCAGCCAGGCACCCCCAGATTCCAACTTCTAGTGTCTCTAGACTCCAGTCTGTCTCTCCAGTCACCACCTCAGTTCAAACCCCTGAGTGCCTTCTTTCTCTTACTCCCTCCAGTCCATGCTCCCCACAGCAGCGTAATCTTTCTAAAGCTGAATCTTAAATTGTAGCCTCTAGCTTTATGCATTCGATCCCTGCAGGACAGAGTCTTCCTTCCCAAATCTGGGTTAAAGGGTTTTATAGCTCTGGAGGGCCCCCGCTGGCCTCCCCATCACGTATGCACCCAGGTGAGCCACTCAGCTCAACCACACTGAGTCACAGCTGCAGGCCGCCATACCAGCCATTCTCCACACCCTCCCTCCTGGCTCGCTGACTCCTGTCTACTTTGCAGGTCTCAGCGCAGATATTATGACGGGCAGCTTCTGAGGTGACCGCCACTGGTCCCTGGCTCCTCGTCTCCAAGCCCTTGGGATTCTGAAGAAAGGAGCGTGGCAGGAGCTGCCCTGTTGTGAACTGCTTTGTGGTGAGGGTCACGTGACCAGGAGCAGAGGGAGGCCTCCAGCCAAACACCTGTGAGGAAGAGAGTCCCTCCAGCGATGATGTGAGTGAGCATGGGGTCCTCCCCCAGCTGAGCCTTCAGATGAGATGGCAGCCCCAGCAGGCAGCATTACCACAACCTCATGGAAGACTTAGCCACGAGAGGCAGCCAGTTAAGCCATGCCTGGATTCCTGCCCCCAAAGAAACTGTGAGATAAATGTTTGTTGTCTTAAGCAGCTATGATTTGTTAATTTGTTACACAGAAATAGATAACGAATAGCACCTTTGGACCCCTGCCTCTCCCCCACACCAACTTCAGTGCCCTTCTGAGTTGTAGGGCCACTGGCATCTCTACCTGTCATCCCCAGTACTTAGCCCTTAACGTTATAATTAGGGGTTCATCCATGTCTGTACCCCTGGATTGTGGGGAAAAGGGGGAAGAGGGAAGAAATCACTATTTTCCTTCTCAAGGCTCTGAATCCCTGCTCTGCTTTGGCCATGCTTTTGTTCAGCCGCAGCGCCCACAGTGATGGCCCCAGAGTGTAGCTGCAGCCCCAGGAAGATGCTCTGGCCAGCCGGAGCCAAGCCTCCCTGCCTGTCCTCCGAGAGACACTCACACTCTCACTCACACACACACACACACACTCACACACACACACACTCTCACACTTTGAGCCCACTGCCCTCTACTCAAGAGGAGAGTGGGTGGAGTCACTCCTTGCTCCTTACACGCACCCTCAGGCTGCACTTGTGTGGGTCTTCTGAATGGAGGGTGGAAGGGAGAGCCACCTTCTGCCTTTGAACTGCGCAGTTCCTCCACCTTTATTTGCAGCCAACGGAACTGGTCTAGGAGGCCGCGGGTGTGAGTCCCCGGTGGGGGGAAGAAAATAATACAAAGAATGCAAGTACTTCTGGCTGCTTTCATTTTCTGCTGTCTCAGCCCACAGGCCACTCGCTGTCTCTGACTCAACCCTGAGATGTGAATGAGGTGCTACGTCTGGGTTCCCAGAGTGCTCCCAGAGTGCTCGGTGGCTCCTCCTTCGGGGCAGGTAACAGCGCTGTCCTCTGGGCTCTGTGCGCGCTCCTGCCCTTCGTGAGACAAAGGACAGCGCCCTTGGCCTCCTGGTGGCCCTCTGCTACCTGTGCCAGCTCCACACACAAGGGCGCCAACTTCCCCAGGGTGCCCGCCCCGCCTCCCCCACACTTCCTACCACCTTCCATCCCCCGCCCTCAGCCAGTCTACCAATGTGGCTGTTGTGTCCAAGCAGGGTTTTTGACTTTTGTAGAGACACGCCTGGGTATGAACACACCTTTTTCTAGTTAAGAAAAGGAGTTTCTTTTTTTTTTTTTTTAATGTTTTTATTTATCTCTGAGAGAGAGAGAAAGAGACAGCATGAGCAGGGGAGGGTCAGGGAGAGAGGGAGACACAGAATCTGAAACAGGCTCCAGGCTCTGAGCTGTCAGTCAGCACAGAGCCCGACGCGGGGCTCAAACCCACGAACCGCGAGATCATGACCTGAGCCAAAGTCAGATGCTTAACCGACTGAGCCACCCAGGCACCCCAAGAGAAGTTTCTGCAAACATTGCCACCTCTGGCGTGTGCTTCTGTCCTGTCTGCCCTCCTCCAGCACTCGGGGGCAGATTTCCTCTTGGCCTTCCTTCTGTGACTGCTTTCTGCTCAGCTGGTCACTGTTGCTAAGAAGGTTGTACCCATCAGCTGTGCTCTAGATGTGGATTAGTGTGCTAACGGGAAGGACCGGGGCTCGGGGGTGGCAGATCTTACCGTGTTTGATCCTGTTTGGGTGCCCTTCCTCGGCCTCATCCTCCCATTGCGTCTGCTGATAAGCTGTTTTCTTCTATTCTGAGATTAAATCAAATAAGCTGCACACATGATAATGCATGGTATGTGGTAGTAAGTGTTCAATAATTGCTTCTTGTGTGTGTGTTTTAAGTTTATTTATTTTGAGAAAGAAGGAGAGCATGGGCAGTGGAGAAGGAGAGAGAAAGAATCCCAAGCAGGCTCCACGCTGACAGATGCGGGGCTCAAACTCAAGAACTGTGAGATCATGACCTGAGCGGAAGTCAACAGCCGGACACTCAACCACCAAGCCACCCTGGTGCCCCAAGTTCTTGTACATTTTTTTTTAATCTTTTTTTAATGTTTTATTTATTTCTGAGAGAGTGAGAGAGAGAGAGAGAGACAGTGTGAGCAGGGGAGTGTCAGAGACAGAGGGAGACACAGAATCTGAAACAGGCTCCAGGCTCTGAGGTGTCCGCACAGTGCCCGACACGGGGCTCGAACCCACGAACCGTGAGATCATGACCTGAGCCGAAGTCAGATGCTTAACAGACTGAGCTACCCAGGCGCCCCTCTTGTACATTTTTAAAAAGACCTCAACAATCTTTGTAATTTTTCCTTGGAAAGGCAGAAAGCAAAAGATTGCCGATGTCCAGTCGAGAAAGTGCTATAGTCGTTTGCTTTGTCTCTTTGTCAGGCGATGGAGAAGGAGGAGAGTTGAGGGCGCTGTTAGGGGACGGCGGGCTTCTGGGTGCTTAATCGGACTCTGAGTGCTGCGGTGCTGCGGGAACCAGCTGCCCAAGTGCCAGAGGAGCAGACGTGCCTGAAGCTGCCACTGCCTCCCAGGTGGGAAGGTGTTTTCCGTGCTCCTGTCCCACTCGACCCCGCGCCTCCTCTCTGGCCCTGTCACAGTGGGGAGCAAAGTGCCCCCATCACGAGTTCCCTTCCCGCCATTATCTCATCAGGTTGATATGTGAATTACAGGAGATAATGAATATAAAGAAAATACTCCAGTGTCCAGAACAGAGGTCCGCAAATTTCATTCAGCCCCTAGGACAAATCCAGCCCTCCCACCTGGTTATTTCTTTTATTTTTTAAATCGAAGAATAATTAACATACAGTGTCATACTAGTTTCAGGTATACAATATACTGTATTGTATACACTATATATTCCTCAGTGCTCACATCATGATGGGCGTACTCTTTTTAAGTTTATTTCTTTTGAGAGAGAGAGAGAGAGCAAATGTGCGAGCAGGGGAGAGGCAGAGGGAAAGGGAGAGAGAATCCAAAGCCAGCTGCTTGCTATGGAGCCTGACACAGGGCTCGATCCCACAAACCATGAGATGGTGACCTGAGCTGAAATCAAGAGCCAGACCCTAACCCGACGCCTGAGCCAGGAGGCACCCCACAGTAAGTATACTCTTAATCCCTTTGTCTATTTCACCTCTGCCCCCCCATCTGCCTCCACCTGCCATCTATTTTTGTGTGGCCCATGAGCTGAGAAATGTTTTCACATTTTTCAGTAAAATTTAAAATTTTTTGAAAGAATAAAATTTTGTGACACCTGAAAGTTATATGAAATTCAAAGGTCTAAGTGTCCAAAAAAAAAAAAAAAAGGGTGATTGGAACACTGTCAAGCTCATTCATTCATTGTCCACGGATGCTTTTGTATTTTTCTGGGATGAGTAGTTGCAACAGGGTATGAACTACAAAGCTTAAAATATTTGCTATCTGACCCTTTACAGAACAAGTTGCCAAGGGGCACCTGGGTGACTCAGTCAGTTAAGTCAGTTAAGTGTTTGACTTCTGCTTAGGTCATGATCTCATGGTTTGTGAGTTTGAGCCCCGCGTTGAGCCCTGTGCTAACAGCTCAGAGCCTGGAGCCTGTGTGAGATTCTGTGTCTCCCTCTCTCTCTGCCCCTCCCCTGCTCATGCGCTCTCTCTCTCTCTCTCTCTCTCTCTCTCAGAAATAAATAAAACATTAAAAAAAGAAAGAAAGAAAGATTTTTATTAATCAGTTAACCTAGCAGTCTCCAACTTTGTCCACAGTGTAGAACCTTCCTTAGGTGCCCCATTACCCTTCCTAACTGGTTTTTCTTCACAAGTGCACCTTATCTTGTAGCAAAGCAAGTATGAAGTTTATATTTTCAAATGCAGACCTTGTCTCAGATGTTCAGGTTTACGTTTATCTTATTTAATTTCCACAGCAGTCCTATGACAGTGGTATTATGACCCGAGTTTTACCGATGAGGACCCTAAAACCCATAAAATTTAGGTAACTTGCTAAAAAATTACATAGCTTAGGAAACGGCAGTAATAAATTTTCTGAAGCAGTTTCAGTAAGGAATCTCACCATGCACGCTGCTTCTCTCGGTCTCTCTGGCTTTGTTTATTCTATTTTGTATGACCCTTGGTCACTTCCTATTTGGGGGTGTACCCCAATCCCACACGGAAATCAAACATCAGTCCCTCATCTACCAAGATGAATAGCTAATTCTCTGGTCGACTCTAATTCACTGAAAGATGAAAGCTAACCTCAGCTACCCCTTCCACCGCTAGGTAACATTTTAATCCCAACATATTTCAACCCTATCCTTCTGGAACCTACATTGCTAGCTTTTGTCAGGGGTCTCTGTTGATGGACACTCTGTGGGAAGAGAACACAGTGGCAGGTTGATAGGAATTTCTGTGTGGACAGGTGTGACTCTACTCAAATCGCATGATGCAGACTCCCCTTTCCACAGGTCACTCGTGCAATCACATGTGTGTTCATTTTGACAAAATGAGCAATGTTTTTTCCTTTGTACTTTTGCGTTTGGGTGCCTCATGCTGGCTGGTAATGCCAACTTGTAGCAAATGAAAGGCCCCTAGGTAATGTTAAAGTCAATGGTGTGGTATTTATTTATACCAAGCTTAGTAGTAAACCTTGGTGCTAGTTTTTTGTCTTCATCTTTCTTGTAGAATCTAGACTTATTTTGTCTCTCTTTTCATAGTCCTTTTTAGACTGTTCCTTCAAATCAGTCTTTTCCCTTCTGGATACATTTAATTTCTCCTGCGTGGAGCCCATCCCCATGTGGCCACTCAGAAGCCAGGGCAGGCCACGGGGAGAAGAGCATTGTGCTCGTTTACAAGCACTGGCTTTGAAGCAACGACTTCCAGTGACTGTGCTTTCCGGAAGTGTGCACAATACTTCTGGGGGCCCAGAGCCCGTTGAAGAGCCTTAAAGACCCAGTTGAAGGTGTCTTGCTAAGTACGTTTCTGCTTCCCTGGAATAGCAGGTTTTAAATAGTAAATGATTTTAAAGAAGCTCATTAGGAAAGCTTTTCTGCCATGATTATAATAGAGGATTCAATCAAGTTTAATTTATTCAGCCAGGTGCCTATGGAAGCTGCCTCGTTTGTTTGGCTTTGTTTTCACAAAATCCCTTGTCAACTGTGTTCTGAGCATCAGTGAGCTAATCCTTCCCCTCTGTCAGATCCATGGTAGACAAAGGCCACTAACACAAAGTCTCCACAATGAGAACGGCAGAGGATCTATTAATCTGTCAGTTGCCTGTGAATTATGGCCAAGATATTTGTCCAACATATGGCACAAGGTTATCACGTTGTAAAAGCAACTCATTTGAAGCCAAACATCCATGCACGCACACAGACGCTCATGACTACTTAGTGGTATAAAAACATTATGCCCAAGGACAAGTATTTGTGGGGATTTGAAGCTACCACTAAATAACAGTAGAGTTAATCTATTGGGAGTGTTTTATTTTCTATAGGATAAAAGTAAATTCGAGATGAAATAAAATCAGAGCAGCTTTCAGGGATAATGTAGAAAGACAGCCATATTTGGTTCTAATCCTCAGGACTGAGTGGCATGATCCTTGGGCAGAAAACAGTTCTGTTAGCAGCGTCCATCTCATCCATGAAGACACTTCAATGGGAAGGAACAATGTGATGCCATGGAGGCGGGTGTCACCTGGCCTTCTGTCACACAGGGTCAGGGAGTTTTGGTTCGCACCTTTGCAGATTCAGAATCTTAATAGTAGCCCAAACGGACTCAGATACTACCTCACTAACAAAGCTCAAAGATAGGAATGTATAAAAGAGAATGCCAAATTTTTCATCTCGAATGAAAAATACAACTGCCCAACTTCACAGGTATTGAGTCAGCCTAATCAAAGAAATCTCCCCCTGCCAATAAAAGAGACCCCTAGCAGAGCATTCCCTTGTGAGCCAAAGCTTATGCTGAACATGTGCCTTGGGGGATCATGGTTGCCAGGTAGAGGAGAGAAGTGGACACAGGGGAGCAGATACAATGGGAATGGGCTTAGCTACTTCCAGACTCCTGGACTTGGTTTTGAACCCCCACAGGGAGTCAGGTATAGTCCGAAGCTGGTCAAAAGGTATAGTGAGGTTTTATGAGAAACTCTATGTGATTCTGACAAGGGCCACTCAGAGTGAGGAAAGGGGCCCTGGGTTAGTGTCCTGGGGCTGTGTAACAAGGTACCACCAACTGGGTAGTTTAAGAAAACACAAATTCATTTTCTCACAATTCTGGAAGCTAGAAATTCAAAATCAGGGCATCAGCACGAGTGGTTCCTTATGAGGGCACGGAGGAACAATCTGTTCCACGCCTCTCTCCTTGCTGTTGGTGGCAACTGGCAATCCTTGGTGTCCCTTGGCTTACAGATGCGTCACTCCAATCTCTGCCCCCTTCTTCACACAGTGTTCTCCCTGGTAAAGATTCTTTCCTGACCACACTCCAGTCAGGCTCCCAACTCTCTTCTCAACAGGGCCTCAACTTTCTGGGTTCCATGTCCTTCTGTGGGTTACCCATTTAACCAGAATTTTCACCCTCAACGTCTGATTGGGTCCATCATCCTCCATCACCCCCCAGGTGATTTCTGCCTTCACTGGGCCGCCTGTGGCAAGAATCCTGTTAGGCTAGACTAGCAAAAAAATCCCTCCTTACCTCTGATATTCCCTCTTAGTATTTGCTCATCCACTGACCCGCACCCTGCTCCCTGGCTATAAATTCCCACTTTGCCTTGTGTTACAGGTCAAGCTTAATTTCTCTCCTGCCCACCCCATTGCAGTGGTCTCTATACCTACTGCCATAATATCCTGGAATGAAATCTCCCTTCCTATTACTGCTTAACAAGTATATGACTAATATTTTCTTGTAAGGACACCAGTTATATTAGATTACTGGCTCACACTACTCCAGTGTGACCCCATCTTAACTAATTATCTCTGCAATGCCCCTATTTCCAGATAAGATCACATTTTGATGGGCACCTGGGTGACTCAGTCAGTTAAGCATTTGACTCTTTTTTTTTTTTTAGAGACCCTTTTTTGTTTGTTTATGTATTTATTCTGAGAGAAACAGAGATAACACGATTTGGGGAGGAGCAGAGAGAGAAAGAGAGAGAGAGAGAGAGAGAGAGAGAGAGAGAATCTCAAGCAGGCTTTCCACTGTCAACAGAGCCTGATGCAGGGCTGAAACCCACAAAGCTGTAAGATCATGACCTGAGCTGTAAGCCAGAGTAGGATGCTTAACAGACTGAGCCACCCAGGTGCCCCAGCATTGGACTCTTGATCTCAGCTCAGGTCTTGATATTAGGGTCATGAGTTCATGCCCCGTGCTGGGCTGTATGCTGGGTGTAAATCCTACTTTAAAAAATGCATTTTGAGGTACTGGGAGGTTAAGACCTCAACATGTCTTTTTTTTTTTTTTTTTTTAAGTACACTCCTCACCGAACGTGGGTTTTGAACTCAGCAACCCTGAGAACAGGAGTCACATGCTCTACTGATTGAGCCGGCAGCCACCCCGTCAACATGTCTTTTTCAATTCAACCCCTAACCATTCAACCCATAACAGGCAGCCTCACTGCTACACATAAAACATAGTGTAGTAGGTATTCTAATGTCACTTCATATACTTTTTTCCCCTCCCCTGGTAGTGCAACTTGGTCTTTTCCTCCTATGGGACAGTATTCCCCAGCCTTCCACGCCTGTGACTCCATGCCCCGGGCCGCAGAGGACTGAGATGTCACTCAAGCAGGGCAAGTAATATTCTCCCTCAGACTTTTCTAAGTACAGCTAATAGAGATAAGCCCTTTCTCTCTGGGATGCGGGGTTTGTGCATGAATCCCCAGACCTGCTGCAGCTGTGTCCCCAAATACATGGAGAGAACTTGTCTGCAGGAAGAGAAAATGAAGCCAACAGGAGGAAAGGAGCCTAGATGAGGGGCAGGGAGGCCAGAGAGCTTAGAGGTTCCTGTTTCTAGCTTTTCCCAGCACTCAGCCCCAGCTCTTCCAGGGTCACAAAACGAATCAAGCCCCCTTTGTGCTCGGACAAGTTTGAATTGGGTTCTGTGACTTGGAAGGAAAGGAGTCCTAGGAGATACATGCAGCATAGTGAAGACAAAAGAGACAGAGCATTAAGGGAACCCTTGAGGGCTTTACCATGTGGGAAGCCCCTGAGAGCCCCAAGGAGGAGTTCCCAGGGGAGCAGTGGGGCGGGGTGGAGAAGAGAAGTTGACTCTGAAAAATACTTGGTGACGCTTTGGGGAGGGGCTAAGGCATGTGTCTCAGTAGAAGAGCCACCCAATCAGGAATGCTGGTGTTAAAGCCCAGCTGGACTTTATTATGCCCCCATGGGACCTGAAGAGATTTGAATTAGAAATGAGAGGACTATCAAAAGACTGGTTGACATGGGGCGCCTGGGTGGCTCAGTCAGTTGAGCATCCAACTCTTGGTTTTGAGTCAGGCCATCTCACTAGTCCTTTCATTTTGAGATTCTTATAACAGATATTCAACAAATACATATACTAGTAAACTTATAACTACAAATTATAGTGTTGTGAAGGAAAGTTATGGGAAGAAATTATGAGGACCTACTTTATTTTTTAAGATTTTATTTTATTATTTTAACCGATAATCAATTTATTAAAAAGGTTGATTTAAGCATCTGCAATGGTGACTTCCACCTCAACTGCTGGCTCAATACTGATGGAAGTAATCTGTTTAACAAATCTCAGAAGGACTGTGCAAATCAATGAGTCGCTTGTGGATCCTTATCTGAAAAGGATCTTTGAACCTTTCACTACAAGGAGTTTTTCTTGTAGTGATTCTCAGAGTCTTGGTAGGCATCTGAACTGGTGCTTTCATTTTGAGATTCTTTTCTTTTGCACCTCTGATCAAGTCAGCACATACCTTCTCCAAAGATTTTACACTGTGGCTGGTTAGAGTCATTCTAATTTGATGAATCACCACCTCTGGTTCCATGGGTGTCTTCTCAGGGTCTTTAAAAGCCATGACTGGACGCCTGGGTGGCTCAGTTGGTTAAGCATCTGACTTCGGCTCAGGTCATGATCTCACGGTTTGTGGGTTCGAGCCCCACGTCGGGCTCTGTGCTGACAGCTCAGAGCCTGGAGCCTGTTTCAGATTCTGTATCTCCCTCTCTCTCTGACCTTCCCTGCTCACTCTGTCTCTCTCTCTCTCTCTCAGAAATAAATAAAAAACATCAAAAAAATTTTTTTAAATAAAAGCCATGGCTGTGGTACAGCTTCCTGACCAACTTGTTCCTCGGCAAGAACTAACATCAGTGATTCAGGAGCAGAGACTTTATTTTTTAAGTAATCTCTACACCCAATGTGGGGCTCAAACTCACAACCCAGAGATCGAAAGTCACATGCTCTACTGACTTGGCCAGCCATATACCCCAAGAAACCTACTTTACATCAGAAAATTTCAAAAAGCCTATCTGAGGAGGGAGTATCAAGACTTGCAGGTCGAGTAGAAGTTTGCCACACAACAAATGTATGGGGGGAGGAATGAAAGGCAAGGCAAGGGAAGGAAAGAGAATTCCATGCAAGTGAAACAGTATATGCAAAGGCCCTACAGCCAAAAAGAGCTTGATTAGAAATGAAGGCAAAGTAAGGCTGAAGTGTAATCAGAGAGGGAAGAGAGTGACTTGAGAAGAGTCCAGAGACATAGACAACAGGCCTATATAAGGATTGCAGATTCTATCCTAACTGCCACTATAGGACTTTCCAGAACAGAAAGCCACTGAAGAACTTTAATTAATGTTTCAAATTACGTTAAAAGAAAAAAAGAATTTCTTGAGGAAGGACAAGAGAGAAAAGAGAGACCCGTTAGGAGGTGATTTGCAATAGTTCCGAGGAGAGAAGATGGCGGCTTGGACAAGGTGGTGGTAGAGAAGTCTGCATTGGAGCTATGCGTGGGAGGTAGAACTGATGGCACCAGGCCTGATGTGGGCACAGTAGGTGATGGAGAGAGAGCCGTCAAAAATGAGTTTCAGGTTGGCTTGAGCTTCTGGCAGTTGGTACTGCCATTAGCTGAATTGAGAAATAATGAAGAAGGATGTTGCAAGGAAGATCAAAGGGCGGTTTTGGTTTTAACATGTTAGAAGTAGAAGATGCCTTTAGTACTTCCAAGTGGAGATACTAAATACCAGTTGGGTATGTAAGTCTTCTGTGACATGTGAAAGATGGGAGCTGGTGGTATATGAATCTGTGAACCACTTGAAAAACAAAAAACAACAAACCAATAGGAATGGATGAGACTGCCTAAGAAGGTGTCCTGGGCACTGAGATCAGAGGAAGTCCTTACACTTAATTGTTGGGTACAAGCCAATGTGTTAACAGTGGAGTCTGAAAAGGTACCACCAGGCAGTGACAGAAAAACCAAGAGCTTGGTGTCATAGATTCCAAAAAGAGACTGTTAGAAGGAACCGCCGGTCACACATATCAGTGGCTGAGAAGTAGGATGGGGATGGAAATGTAATATTGGACTTGGCAAACAGAAGGGCTTTTGTTGGACCTCATCAGGAGTTTCCCTAATGGAAGCTTGAGGGCATAAGCTAGACTGGATGGGATGAAGAGTGAATGGGAGGTGAGCAATGGAGTCAGAATGGGCAGACAATGCTTTCAAAATCTGTACTTACTGGGGCGCCTGGGTGGCTTAGTTGGTTAAGCGTCCGACTTTCGCTTAGGTCATGATCTCGCGGTTCGTGGGTTCGGGCCCCGCGTCGGGCTCTGTGCTGACTGCCAGCTCAGAGCCTGGAGCCTGTTTCAGTCTGTGACTCCCTCTCTCTCTGACCCTCCCCTGCTCACGCTGTCTCTCTCTCTCTCTCTCCTAGAAATAAATTAAAGAAAAAAAAACATTAAAAAAAAAAATATGTACTTACTATGGAGAGCAGAGCAATGGGACCATAACTCTAAAGGGCACGTGAAGGTGAGAAGGGCAGATTTAAAGATGGGAGTTACTATCACATATGTGACTGCAGATGGGGATAATTCCAATTGAGTAAGGGGGTAAAGATATAAGAGATTGAAAGGGACACACTCTCCTCCAGATGGGGCTAAAGTGAGCAACATTTACCTCCAGTTTCATTCTACTTTTATTGCTGATCCATAACCTTCCCTCTTCACTGACTCCTTCAGATTGATATAAGAATGCTTCACTTGCATTAATATTTTTCATTTTCTTTATTTAAACTGTGAGTCAGGATCCCTAAAGGGGACAGCATATCTTTGCATTTATTCCTTTGCATTTTGATTTTATAGTTTAGCTCTTTGGAAAGTATTCCCATCTTTTTAGGTACTATATTGATGAAAAATGTTCTGTTCCAATGTACCAACTCTATTCCATAGGTGATTGCCTACGTGGCATGATTTGAATAACCTAATAAAGTTTATCCTTGCCCCAAATTATCACTCAGTAAGAACTAATAATAATTAAGGATAGGACTTACCTTTAATAAGCATGTTAATTTCACAGATATTACCCCATTTAATCTTCATAAGAGTTGTAAGGTAGGTTTTGTTATGTCCATTTAAAAATGAAGAAACTGGTACCAGGAGATGTTAAGTGATTCACAGTTTCCTAGTTAATAAATGGTAGATCTGGGATAGTCTACACCCAAAGTTTCAAGAAAAGGTCTAGTTGGATCTTTACATATATAGTTTCATGGACCTTGAGACTGAAGTAGAAGGTGAGATAATCCCAGATGTTCTGGCCACATTCCTCAGCCCTGAGCCACTAGGAGCAGGAGTAGGGAGGGAGAATGGAAGCAAGAAACCACAAATATAAAGTTCAGCTGGCTCAGTCCGAAGAGCCTGTGATGCATGATCTCAGGGTTATGAGTTCAAGCCCCATGTTGGGTGTAGAGATTACTTAAATAAATAAATCTTTTTTTAAAAAAAATTCAGCTCTGAAAGACCTTTTCGAGTGCCCTGAATTCACCACTTGGCAATCTTTCATAGATCAACTGTCATTTCACATAATTCAGCAAATGTCCTCACAAGTCAAAACGAGACTGAGAAACAACCTGGTTCCTGTGGACAATCAGACTGAAATCATGCATTTATTAACTGCAATTAACCACGACAGGCTTATGTTATTCCTCCTCACAGGGTGGAGGGTGGAATAAAAGTTTCCTGCAACTTAATTTTCTGAGAATGGTGTTTGAAGTTGGGATGAGATCATGGATATGAAATCGCCTTGAAAATGGTACCGCATTGCTGTGTGATGTAGTCTTGGTGATATTAGAAGGGACCTGGGAGCTCATTGTACAATCTCAGAGTTCAGGACTTGTGAGCCAGTGAGTGTCTCCTATAGAAGGGGGGAGGGGGGCGGGTTGTGGCTCCTGCATCCCTGAGCTGCAGAGCTCCACTTGCTGAATGACCCACCCCTGTTCCATCACACTAAGAAGATTCAAACAGGAAGCGTAAAAACAGTTCGGAGGCGCAAGTGGATTCTTCCTTGTTTGTACGAGGTCAACAAATGTTTGGGGAAATGTCCACTGTGTAGGTAAGCTGTACGGTGACTCCACACACACTTAGTGATAGGTCAACCAGGAAGAGGCATCCCTTGTTCAGGAAATTACCCTGATAAACTAGACAAAATGAAGATTCGTGATGCAGCTTGATTAAAGGATCAATATTTGGATTCAAAAGGACCAGGTACAATCTCATTTCCATCACTTATTAGCTGTGAGTCTTTAACTTCATTTCTCTCAAGTTTATTTTGCTGGATGATCAGATGGGTATGGTAATAATCATACTTACCTCACAGGGTAAGTAAAAGAGGTAAAGCAGATAAAAGGGATAATTTAGATGAAAGATGTCTGGTGCCTTCCGTAGTAGGGGCTAGTATCAAACATTAATTCCCTCCCTTCTGCACCCCCAGCTTAGCCATCAGTCTACAGGTGCAATTTAAACACCCTGAGGAAAGGATGAGGAGTCAAGTGAGGTGTTGAAAAACGGTTTCTCCTGAGCAGATAAAGCACTGATCTGGAGCACTGGGGCATCGCGGGTGTGCTGGGGGCTTGGTGCCCTTGGGGCTACAGAAAGTGGTATGCTTGCTGGTTTAGTAAGGTTTCAACCAGAAGCCATGAAGCTTGTGTCACCAATCATTTGTGACACATTAAATAAAGTCTGTCATGTTGGCTTCTAAGTTCAAGGTTTTAATTCACCTTGGAGGGCAAAGCATTTTGCAGCTCGATTCATTGCCTGGTTGTGTTCTCTTTGCTGAACTCATGCGCTTTTCATTTCTCAGAACCAGTTTATCAAGACTAAAGACTAACGCCTGTGCTGGTAGCTCTTCTGGAGAAAACAAAGCCATTAACGATAGTTAACATATTAATTGCAGAAAGTGCTTCTTTAAGTTTCTGTTGGCAACAAGTTACCAGTCTAACAGTAAGTGAAGTGCATCCAGACTCAATTGAAAACCTGGCCAGTCAGGATTTTTAATCTTCATACTTCAGGTTTTCGTTATTACAGTTGCCAAGACGCCAAGCTTATAATTTACAAGTAGTAGCCGTGTGTCACTTAGAGAGAAACCCAAACCTAAAAATAGAAATGAAACTCAGGAAAACACCAACCCAGATAAATAAATCTTATGTCAAATGTAGAAAGCTTGTAGACCTGTGCTCAATGTTACACCAATTGTTTAAATTTCAATGGATTAAAGCAAGTGCATTGAGCAGTCAGCACGGCAATGCCCAGGGGAAGATGGCAATTATTTTTTCATGTTTCAGAAAATCTTTTCACATCATTTCTTGCTCTTTTTTTTTCTTCTGTCTGACTGATTATTCAATTCTTTGGCAATAGACTCTTTTTCTATAATAACCAGGTTAATACTTCTAATGGGATTAATTTTACCTAAAGCATTATGCATATAGGGCCATTGACCATCCCTACGCAGAGCTTTGTCCTGTTGCCACACATTGCATCCCTAACCCCAACGAGTTGTTGGAAATGTGTGTGCCATTGTTAAGGACAGGACAGAAG